AGGGACATTATTTTTTCTTGTTTTATTGGCAACTTTAACATATCTTGACACAGACTTACCATCAACTGAAAAAAGATCTAACGATCCTGAAAGAAAGAATAAAAATGGAGCAATGATTYGTAAAACAACATAAAAATTGGTGAAATACCACTTCCTTGATTACAGACTCATTTACCCAGGGCTAGCCTCGTATCAGTATCAAAATATTCACAAATTCCAATGAATATTTGACGGAAATTTTCTATTGAAGACTAGAGTTGTGTTTACACGGTACCGGACGAATTTTTAACCCGTCAAAAATTTGCACGTTTAGGGGTTGACGTTCCGTTCACACGGGACTAAGCTATCCCAACAAAAAAATCGTGGCCGTGCAAATTTGGATCCAGTTCCGTGTAAATAGAACGTATTTTTTATACAATTAAAGAGACAGTTCCGTGTAAATGGTATTTAAAGGTCAAATTTTTGCCCGGTTAAAAGTTTGTCCGGTACCGTGTGCAAACGCAGTTTATATCACATACCTCCATCCTCAGCTGTCCAGGGGGGGACAAGATACAGAATATAGGCCACTCGACGACCTTCAAGTTCATCATCATGACATAGCAATACATCTAGATACAAAATATATCCCAGCACAGTTAGTAGAGTCCCCCTCTACTAACTATGATCCCAGTATTCGGTTATCAATAATTGTAATTCTTAGTTATGTGTTTGGCAACGAGATTAAGCTCAAGGTGCATTGTGGTCTAGCTTGGGTCAGAAAAATAATCGGCATGATGAAAAAAGCGAGGTTTGTACCGAAGTTAAACCAGAATGCACCATGCTTCTTTTCTCAAAAAATTGGGTTCCGGCAGTCAGCTGTTTTTGAATCTCATTATCTGCTCCAAATGGTGATCAAACTGACACTGACCACCATGTGCTGTCAACCAGAAAAGATTTTATTGAAAACTTGTTATTCAGCTGATGAACATTCGACACGTGTTCTGATTGGTCAAGAACTACGTTTATTAGTGRACAGAGCATAGTTAAATTGACACCATTCGCGCACGCTGCACAAACTTTACAAAGAAGAGTATGACAACAGCATTGTAAATTACAATATATATTTTTCTTTCTCCTGCACATAACACAACAAATAAAACAGCTTTATTCCAAGTTCCGTTTGGTAATAAAGCACTTTTGGAAGAGGTGAAAGGACTCAGGAAAACTCGCCTACTGCTCTTTCTCTTTACACTTCGTTTGTGATTTATTACAGAATGGGGCATGTGAAAAGATGTTTTATTTGTTAAATGTATTGGTGGTGAGGAAGAGGGAGTTGGAGTGGAAGAGGGAGTGGGAGAGGGAG